ACAGAAGCCTGCTGGACTCACTGACCCTCAGGATGCCGCTGGGCAGGCTGTCCGAGGACGCCACAAAGTTTCCCGTCCTCCTCAGCAGGTCGTCCTCCTCATCTTCATCCTCCTCATCTTCATCCTCCTCATCTTCAGGAACACAGAGACGCAGAGTCTGAGTTTCTGTCGACTGAAAACACTCTTAAAATAATAAAAACATTTCAGACTCTACCTCTCCTCCTCCTCCTCCTCTTCTGGTCGCTGCTCTCCGCCCATGATGGAGTTCCTCCCATCGCCTTCTGGAACCTGAAACACACGCAGCACACGTCCAGGTGTGTTTATAGGTGTGTGTGTGCGCCTGTGTGCGTGCATACTCACTGCTCCCTCATCCTCTGCTGCAGTTTCTGTTTGGTCATGGCGGACTCCGCCTCGCCTTTCATCAGGTTTCTACGGAAACGGTGCTTCATGTCCACCCTGAAACACACCAACACCTCAGCATCATCACGCGAGTCTTCACTCACCACAATCATCTTTGATTTCCCGCTTTCAGCCTAAAACACGTCTTATTGTGAAACACTCACTCTTCCTCCAGCTCGTCATCCTCGTCCACCCACGCCGCTTTCTTCTCGGCCTGCACCTCCTGCCGCATTCCACCCTCATCCTCAGACTCCTTTGCCTCCTCTTCATCTTTGTCCTCCAGCAGCAGGAGTCCGGTTCGGTCCTCGTCCTCCTGCTCAGGGAACAGGAAGCATCAGTGAAAAACCAAAACCTGACCTGAACCCAAGCGCCACACACCAGACTCCATTCAAAAATTCACCCAGTTTTACAGCATCGTTCAAACGGGAGGTGACCTGACATTAAAGTGTTTCACCACAAAAACTCTTCTTCACCTGGTGCTCAGTTATTCAGCGGGTCTAAGTCCTACACAGTCGTCTTCGTCTTATATATACAAAAGTTTCAGCTTCTGAGCAGGGAAAGAAAAACAAGACTTTTTTAAATGGAGTCTGGTGGTAGATAACTGCCAGCCTGGTTCACACACAAACAGAGGCCATCTAAATTAGAAGACTTTTAAATGGAGTCTGGCGGTAAACCCAAAGGTTTAATGGTTGCTTGGAAAACTTAGAGAGAGTAATATCTGCTCATGCGCAGGAGAACAAAAGTCAGGGATATTTTGAATGGTTCATACAGGTTAAGCTTGAACAGATTACAGACATCATGGTTGTTAATTAGCCAGCCGAGTTTACCAGAAACACCCCGCAAACTTTTGTAAATGTCAAACTTTGTCTTTCCGTAAACAGTTTTGTGTCTGCGCAAGAACATTTGAAGCCGACCGCAGGAAACGGAGTTTTTCAGTTAGCAAAGATTTCCGTGACTTTTCTTTCAGGTCAGTTAAACCGAATTGACCACATATAACTGCGTTTCATGAGAGTTACGGCAGCTCGGCCTCAGAGGCAGAGGTTTCCAGTTAGTGTCCAAAAA